AATATCAGGTAGTTGGGGCAGCTGTGGAGATACTCTTTTCCTCAAGAGAACCTTTACTCACAAGTTGATGGAATTAGTAAGGTTGAATGGCTTCTCGGCTATTCCAGCGGAGGAGCTCCTTGTCCTGCTGCAGAAGGTTTCGCATCTTGTCGTTTCCGGCCACCGCCTCTCTTTGCAGTGCGGGCCAGGCCGTCATCATTTCTTCGTCTTCGTTGAACCGCCAGGCGATTCTGCACGCGTGCCACGGCCACGACGAGATGTTCTGGAGCGGTCCAAGCTTCCGCGCTTGCCTAAAGGTCCCGGAAATCATCTGCGACGTTTTGAATGGGATGTGCCGTCAGACGACTTTCCTCAATGACCTGGTCGACGGCTGCGTCGTCTGGATGCCAATCTTAAGAAGCTTCCGCCTTCGCTTCTGCTTTTGCGTCCTCTTCGCCTTCTTCTTCTGCTTCGGCTTCTGCTCCGAGAGCGCGCCATGTTAGTAAATGTTTTGCTTTTGTTCTTCTCAACTCGAGATGCTCTTGTTTTGAAAAGATCTCCCGTAATGGATCTCCCCACGCCATAGAAGTAATACAAATTATTAGTACTACCAGCCGGCTTTGCCGGCTGATGCCGGCGCGCGTCCTTCCGAGATATAAGCGGCTTCGCCGGGCGGGGTCAGAACCGCCGCCCTTGCCTTTTTCCACATATTTCAATACCCAGCTAGTATCCGGCTTTTCTTTTATGTGAGCAGATGTTCAACTTCTCTGAACAATAGCATCATACCTGCATTTTCAACGCTAGTACGGTGTATGGAATGGTGGTGAGGTTATTTTGTGTTTTATCGCGATCAAATCACTGCCACTATTTGATACTGCAACATGTAATGGTTCGCCAGTTTTGCATACGGTCGATCCCTCTTCTGTTCGCCCTATCACACTCCTAGACGCTCCACAGTCGCTGCGTGCGCCTGCTCAAAGGGGAGCGGCGGTGATTCTGGTATACCATACGCTACCCTCCCACTGGTTCGCCCCGCCAGCCTCCATGGGCTTCGTCCAGTTGCCGCGCGAGAAGATTGTGAAGTGGCTTGCAGTGTACAAAAGGTTATGTTGTATAGTTGGTGGAATTATCACAATCAAAACAACATTTTAGTTTGCTAATATGAATTAGCTTGCAGTTTCGCTAGCAGTTGCTTCCTACACTCCGGTTGCATGCTCCTGTTCAAGCGTGCGCTCACTCAAACTACATATTTCCAAGTCCGGGTGAGCAGTCCAGTGTAGGACTCAATGAGTGCCGTTCTCCTCCCCTCTCTTCCCCCCCCCCAAACCTATTCCCCGCACGACTTCACGTCAAGCCGTCACGCAAGCAGCTTGTGAGCTTGTGCTCGGGGTGTACTAAATAGTTGTGTTGTATAGTTGAAAGTATTATCACAACTAAAAGAACATTTTCGCTTGTTACAGTAATGTGATTTATTCGCAGCTTAGTCAGCGGTTCTTTCCTCCTCTTTGAGCGCTGCTATTCAAGCGTGCGCTACGCACCTTCTCACCGTACCCGTTCACTCGCTTCCCTCACATGTTGCAGTATCAAATAGTGGCAGTGATTTGATCGCGATAAAACACAAAATAACCTCACCACCATTCCATACACCGTACTAGCGTTGAAAATGCAGGTATGATGCTATTGTTCAGAGAAGTTGAACATCTGCTCACATAAAAGAAAAGCCGGATACTAGCTGGGTATTGAAATATGTGGAAAAAGGCAAGGGCGGCGGTTCTGACCCCGCCCGGCGAAGCCGCTTATATCTCGGAAGGACGCGCGCCGGCATCAGCCGGCAAAGCCGGCTGGTAGTAGGATAATTCACAGGCTGAGTGAGCCTCTAATACTCGGGCATTAAAGCGGTAAGAAGTGATAAAAATGTAGCGCAGATGGTATCTTATCTGTTTTTATCGATTGATAAGATTACCTGTCACCCGTCATCAATGTCCTCATCACTAAATCTCTATGATTTGGTAGCGTGAACCACCTTGAACAGCGACGACGACTGCAACTTCCTTATCAGCCCCTATCAGTAGTTATCGCTTCCAGTCACCCACGGTTGATGTCCCCATCTCACCCTCTATATCACTTGCTGAAACGCACGCCTCGCTGATGCTGTGACCTGCGCTATGAATACGATGACCTCATCTTTCTAACGCCATTCATCGAATCTTATCAGGCAGATCGACATCGATTTTTCTCGATAGTTCCCACAATTACGGTCAGAGGAGAAAAGGGGGGGGGTGTCTTAATGACACCACCATTTCACACATCTCGATGCTGTACCCTGTCAGATGATTCTTCTCACGCTGTGTTGGCGACAGCTCCGCGAATTAAGTGTCATTACAGGACTAGTGGATGCAGCGTTCCTCTATGGACAAAGAACCGATAACAATGGAAATTTCATTCTTACTGCTTTGCGAAATATGAGGTGGAGGGATGGTAGAAAGCCGGAATACACGAACTGGAATGCATATAAAGGTGCTTACAACTGTGGTCGATACTATCCGTATGATTCATGCGGGGTTGTAAGTTTCTAGTTGTTTTTCGTAAGCAGACTTTCTAGCCTAACATGCAGATTTTTGAGCGAAACCATGTTTGGAATACAAAATTCTGAGCGAGACCATGTTTGGAATACAAAATTCGTGTGTTGTAATGATCAAATGATATTTGGGAGGAAATCTCAAAACAAACCCGCGTTGAACCATGTCTTGTTCCCTTCCCTACCCCCGGGGGTGTTGCATGGCATTCTGTCAGTGCTGAAGTACGGAATGAAACGACAGTGAGCTAGGGAATGCACCTGAATTGCGGCCATAGCGGTTTTCTGGCATGAAACCAGCGAGTTTGAAAAGTTCCAGTCGAGGGAGCCTCTCTTTACGATTTCGGCCATGTATGTTTGTTTGGAAACAGGAAGCAGGAACAGGCACACGCCGAAGTGAGTCATCATCGAATCCACACGGGAGGCATTCTGCCAGAGATCCGACTCAATCGCCAATCCATGATGATTCAACGAGAAATGTTCAAGCCTTTGGACAGCAGTGACTAGGTAGCCTAGTCCTCAATCGTGGATTTGTGACTAAAGCATAGTCACAGAACTTTATTCAGCAATCCGAGATTGTTATAAGTCCTTTACCAGACTGACGTTTCGGCAGTATTGCCTTCTTCGGAGCCTGCAAATCAAAACCTATTTTCGAAACAATTCGCCCTAATCCCATTTCAGATAGCATAGTGAAGCTCGAGGTAAAGCAGTCCTGTCAGGCTAAAGCATAGTGTTTCTGTTAAGTCGCCCAAAAGGACAGGGACCCAATGTTGACAATGACCGGGGCGCTGGGGCGCTCCACCTCAGTCAATGAAACGGTGCAGGAGAAGAATTCAATTGGGCCGAATCCATACACTGCATGAGTGCGGTCACTTTTAAATTCCGTCGTTGCATTGGTCCACCGTTTGATGGTGGAACCCTCGGTCGTAATCCTGCGATTGTCGTGATTGGACCGCAGAGTATGAACGAACATTGATGCTAGAATGTTTATCTGGACATGGGCAACTTTGGAAATCTGCATGGGTAACTAAACTGTTGCCCTCAACTGCGGAATCTCGCGCACTCTTTTTTTCAGATCTACATGGGCAAACCAGATGTAGGAAAAGTCAACGAGTGGTGTATAACTTTATGTTCAGATATAGACAACTCTCCAAGGAATTTTGCAGCGTGCGAGCCAATGCCAGAGTGAAATCACTCCTTGAAATAATAAATGTTTTTTCTGTCATTACTGTAGTCATATGTATGTACATTGCTGTGGTCATATGTGAAGAGGCACGCCAGCCATCCTCAAAGGCGGCGTTCATACTTCGCGATGGCAGCGGCGAAGGCCGTTTGCGGCCGAGCGCGCGCTAGCGCTACGATTCTGAGCGCTCCAATTGCTGAGGGTTAATTAACAATCATTTAGTGTTGTTTCTGAGTAACTGTCACAAACGTCACGTTTACAGTCTTCGAAAATGGAGAATATGCTTAGTTGAATTAGGAAGAGGATTCTTCCGCCTTTCTCTACTGCATCGAATAAAGTGGGGAACTGAACTCTATAAAATTTCATTTGATGTGAGTTTCCTGAAAATTCTCATTCTCGTGGTCTAACCCTCAAGGATCTTGCTTTCCGCTTATGTTTACTAACTGAATTCGCAGCAAGGTTCCATTTCTGATGAGCTTCTTTTCGTCTGTTTTCATGAGCTTGATCTTCAAAGGACATGTACTTTAAAAATTAGGAGAATTCAGCTAACAGAGACCTGTGTAAGACTCATGAGATTGAGAAATGAAAAAAAGAATTGAAAGGAAATTCGTCCTCGAAATGAAGGTTTTCTTCGATT